ATATATATATATTATAAATTGTATTAAATAATTGTTTTCAAATTTTAGTTATTTACCAATTACTTTTTCTTTTGCTTATACCTATTTTTACAAGTATAATTAAATACATAATAATAATACATTTTCAAGTAAAAATACTATGACAAAGTAGATACAAATTACTATATTTCAGAATATAATAAATTAATGGGAGTAAAAATAAACTATGATAATGCCGATGCCGATGTCGAAAATAATTCTCTGATAACAAGTTAACTGCACACCAATTACGTTACAACGCGGGCTGTGTGTATCGACTTGCTTTAATTTTTACATTGTACAAATGTGCACAACTACACTACTATAATAATACACCCCGATACCGTTCCGTCCCGGACAGCTGTTTAGCAGTCAAATTAACCCGATCCAAATATTAAATATAATATTATAATATTATTATTTTCATAATATTCTGAATTTATATTTTTATATTTTGAAAATAATCCTTGTTACATTACAGGTACTTATATAGTTGTGTTATTATGATGTATCTTTTCAATTTTTCTTGAGTTTGGGTAGGTAGTGCACGTGCACTTGTGCACATACACACGAGCTGCCACTCGTTCAATATATAACAAAATCATGTAAACCATACTTTACAGGAAATGCATATTAAAAACGAATTTCATCATTTTACTGTAATCTTTTTTAACAAATATAATTCTAATAGTTACTTATTATTTGTAACTATTACTCTTATAATTTAATTTCATTAATACATTAGTAAGATGAATTTTAGTGTTTTTTATACGCCTGAGTTATTAAAATAATATTAGAGTAGCATAATATTTGTCTACACATTTTTATATAGAATATAGGCAAGCACAGATATTTTTAAGATTTTCTTTTAAACAAATTTTTATGAAAAAATATGTAATTCAATATATATCTTGTATTAAAGGATGTAATGAAAATAATATACATATTAAAATAGTTGACTTTATGCCTTTTTGGCTTTTTGCTCTTCATAATTTTTATATTATATTATGTTACTCAGTTTATAATATAAGAAAAGGTACAAGGTCGAATAGATGGTCTCGGCTCTTCGAAAAATATTTTTTTACCCACCCAAGATTTGTTTCAGTAAGCCATATTGCCAAAATTTTAATATTAATAAATGATAATGAACTTATCACATTTTTTGACTGTATATCATTATAAAGCTGCCATTAAAATTGTTACATGCACAGCTGCTTATTTCTTCTACCAGTCAAAAATATTAGTGGCTCTTCAAAGTTTTCATGAATGCTTAACTGACCTATTCGGCCTTGTAATAAGTTTGATAACAATATATTCAGATTGGTTTGATAAATAGATACCACAATATCACTGTGATATTGACTGTCAATATTTTGTATTGACAATCTTTGAACATCACGATACATTATATTTTTGGGATCTTAATTAATTAATATATTTATAATTATATATAACACTGATGATAAGAATATGTTATTATTTTATTATTTATATAATTCTTTGTATTTTCTTATTTTATTAGTATAGAATGGAATTTTTTGGGAGTAAACCTCGGTCCAAGAAAAAAAACGTTAAACGTTTAAATGTGTCCAAGCCAAAAAAAGAAAGCAACTTACTTGAAGTTTTTCAGAAATCCAGTCAATCAAATTCTCAACAGGGTGTTTCATGTCTGACAAAAAATATTGAAAATAGTGCCACTTTAATGAATGAAAATACTAATAACATATGTAACATATGTTACTTAATGCCTAAAAATGGTGTATTTAACCATGGCAAAATTGGCCATATTTATTGTTGCTACTCGTGTGCTAAAAAATTATGGAGAAAATCTAATACATGTCCCTTATGCAATGTTAAAATTAAATTTGTGACAAAAATGATTGTTGTCTAGTAATTATAATTGTATTTTATTTCAATTTTTTTAGTACATTTTTAGCTTTTTTAGCATTATATTATTATTGTATATCGTAATTTATTTATTGTTGTTTATTATCATCGTACATATTTATAGTTTATTAATTATTGTTTTCTATTTTTTACATATAATTACTTTTATATTTTATTATCGTATTATATAGTATTCTATACTCATTTCATGATATAAGAGTAATCTTAGGTTTAATTGGTTACCCTAATTTAAACTGATTTATCAAGGGGTATAGTCTTACTTTTTCTTACTTTAAATTTACAGCTTCTGAGGTTACTCTTATTCGAGAAATAGTATAGCAAGCTAGTTTTTTCTTTAGTTTTTTATGTAAAGAATTGTGGTAATAATTGTAACAAAATATTTAATTTTTATAGCTGTGGTCATTTTTAAACTGGTTTTTTAGATTTTCACATTAATTGTATTTGATATATTAATTTATTTTCTCATTAAACTTAGTAAATTAACAATTTATGTAACTATTATAATATTCATAATAATCAATATTAAATACACTGAAACCCATTTAAAACGAGAGTTTGTTCTTAAACTGTATATATTGGTTAGTCCAGAAAGTAACTATAGAACATTTTCATGATACCAAAAGCTGTCAACTAAGAAACAGTAAGGTGTTTAAATTTAAATACCATACTGTTATATTTAATAAAAGTAGTTTTATACTTATCCAAGCTCCATTATAACTTTGTAGCATTGTAGTTTTTGTTTATATTTTAATAATAAAAAATAACTGAACACACAAAATGTACTTTATTACATTTAATTACTCTGTAAATCATATCATATCTTTTATGTTCATTCGCTTACAGGCTACAGCCAATTACACTGTTGGATTTCACTCTTTAGTGTAGTCCTGAAGTTTGGTACTTTTTAAACATTTGAGTTTTGATATAATTTGTTTCATAATAAAGTTCTTTTTTTATGTTATATCATTATTTATATATATATAAAAAAAATATATACATTGTTTATTAATATAATGTACAATACCATGCGTTATTGGTATAACATAGAATATATTAGATTATAAAAATGATTGTATTGTGGCATGTTTTGGTTTATCAATCCTTAAATGATAGAAGTTCTAAGATTAAAAATATAGCATGAATGTTTTCTTCAATTTATTTATAATTATATTATAATATAGATTCAATTTAATAATTAAAATTTTAATTTACTCGTAATTTTTTTTATGATTCATTGTAACAAAATTCTCTGTATTTAGGTGCTAACTTTAGTGATTAATATTATTTTATAAAGGGAATTTTTATTAATATTTTTGGTCTT